GAAAATGCTTGTTCTTGGGTAGAACATTGGCTTAAAAACAGTACAAAGAGTTGTCATTAATGGTAAATTTTCAAGCTGGACAGAGGTGGCAAGTGGTGTCCCTCAGGGGTCTGTTCTAGGACCCCTTCTATTTAAGATGTTTATAAATGATCTTGAAGACAGCATTGAAAGTCATGTTTCAGTGTTTGCAGATGACACAAAACTTTGTAAAATAATACAATGTGAGCAAGATATTACTTTGCTGCAGAGGGATTTAGATAGACTGGGGAACTGGGCACTCAAATGGCAGATGAAATTTAATGTTGAAAAATGCAAAGTTATGCACTTCGGCGTAAAGAATACACAAGCAACATATACCCTTAATGGAAGCGAATTAGGGATAACAACACACAAAAAGGACTTGGGAATTGTTATAGACAACAAACTATGCAACAATGTGCAATGTCAATCAGCAGTGGCCAAGGCCAGTAAGGTATTGTCATGCATGAAAAAGGGCATTCATTCTCGGGACGAGAATATCATTTTGCCTCTTTATAAATCACTGGTAAGACCCCATATTGAATATGCTGTGCAATTTTGGGCACCTGTTCTAAAGAAGGATATTATGGCACTAGAAAAAGTGCAGAGGCAGGCTACAAAATTAATAAAAGGAATGGAACATTTCAGCTATGAAGAAAGGGTAACAAATTTAAACCTATTTAGTTGAACTGAGCTGAAGAGGAATTGTAAAATGCCCTTACCGCTGAAATAAAGCCCTTTGGTACGCCAAATTTAAGGAGCACCTTCTTCTAAGAATTTCCAGTATAGGCCAGTATAGTAGAAGGCCTTCTCCACGTCGAGTGAAAGGATCTGTCCCCCTTGGTTGTTTTTCTTAAGGCTATAAATTATGTCCAATACTTTGCGTAAGTTGTCAGAGCCCCGTCTACCACTTACGAATCCTACCTAATCACTATGAATGATATATGGTAGAATCTTAGTGTTGTGGCATAACATTTTGAGGAGAGATATGGGTCTAAACCTTGGAGGGTGAGTGGGTGGTTTGCAAGGTTTCGGCAGCGTGACGACGTTTGCTAGGAGCATGTCGTTCCACAGTGTTTCAGTCTATCTCTGTAAATGCTACAACCATGTGGGGTGTTAGCATTTTTGGAAGTTTTTGTAGTAAAAATTATTTTGCCCATCAGGTTTGGATGACTTGCCGAATGGTAAAGCTTTTACAGCCCTAATCAGAGCTGTATTTAGCCCAAGGCAAACTAGGCATTTGCCTTGGGTGGCACTAACCAGGGGGCAGTAAAAAATGCTGCCCCCAAATGCCCACTTGGACGTCCCCTGTGTTCCCCTTGTCTTGGGGTGGTCCAAGAGCTGGCCTGCTGGTCACCTTATGGACCCTCCGGCAGGTGGCTGTGTTAGCATCAGAAGCAGCGAGGGAGCTGTGATCTTACTGCTCTGCTTCCTCGCGCGCCGTTTGCTGATGCTGGGAGCCAGAATACGACGCCATTTTGGCTCCAGTAGATGGCCCACGAGGCAGCAGAGTCCCTCGCCGCCTCTGATGCTAACAGAGCTGCCCACCTCACAGCAGCCCCACTGGACCCCTAACGGCAGACCCACACCAGCTCTTTAGGTAGGAAGGCTGGGTGGAAAATTCTAAATTATAATAATATTAATAATTTGTGAGTGTGTGTGTGTCTGTGAGTGTATGTGTGTGTCTGTAAGTATATGTGTGTGTGTATTTTGTAAGTGTCTGTCAAATCAGTGAGAGTCTGTTTGTCATTGAGTCTGTGTGTGACCAGGCTCGGACTGGCCATTGGGCACACCGGGCAAATGCCCGGTGGGTCGCGGTGGCCATGGGCCGAGGCCGGTAGGGGAGGTCACAGGACATCCCCTGCCGGTCTATGCAGGGCCGGCACTATCCGAGCGCACCCCGCTGTGTACCTTTATGGGCCGGTGGGGAGATCAAAGATCTCCCTCACCGGCCCACTTGAAGAGACATGCAGCTGGGGAGGGAGAGGAGGACCCGGTGGAGCTCTATCTTGCAGCTCCGCCGGGTTCCTCTTGCGAGATCCGGTGTGTTGCCACTTCACTAACCACTGGACCACCAGGGATGATGTCGGAGTGCGAGTGCCGGACCCCCCCTCTCTCCCAGGTACGAGCGTGCCGGTCCCCCCCTCCCAGGCTAAAGGTAAGAAGGGAGGGGGGATTTAATGCCTGCTTCATTTTATTTTTATTTTTTACCCCCCAAACACACAATCCCTTCTAATATTCACACCCATCACACACATCACACACAGCACTCTCACACCCATCACACACAGCACTCTCACACCTATCACACACAACACTATCACACACAGCACTCACACCCATCACACACAGCACTCTCACACACAGCACTCTCACACACAGCACTCTCACACATAGCACTCTCACACCCATCACACACAGCACTATCACACACAACACACACAGCACTCTCACACATAGCACTGTCACACCCATCACATACAGCACTCTGACACATAGCACTCTCACACACAGCACTCTCACACCTGTCACACACAGCACTCTCACACCCATCACACACAGCATTCTCACACACAGCACTCTCACACACATCACACACAGCACTCTCACACATAGCAGTCTCACACATAGCAACCTCACACACATCACACACAGCACTCTCACACACATCACACACAGCACTCTCACACATAGCAACCTCACACACAGCACTCTCACACCCATCACACACAGCACCCTTACACACAGCACCCTCACACACATCATAAACAGCACCTAACACACACACAATACTTCCAAACATATTTATATATATATATATATATATATATATACACACACACTACAGCACCCCTCACACACATACTGCACTCTTAAACACATTACGTTCCAGACACACACTAGATCCCTTACCCAACTCTGGATCATATACACACACTAGATCCCTTTCTACACTCTGAATCCGTTATATACACACACTCACTAGATCTCCTACACATTCTAGGTCCTTTAAACACACACTAGACTCCTGTATACACACACAGTGCACCATCTACAC